CACTGACTTCTAAAATCTAGAAAAAACACATCCCGAAACAACTTTATACCTTTGGCCCTATTTCATTCTCCACAAACTCCCAGGGCAGATGTGCTGCACTGCTTCAGTCTAAGACATAACTGTAAATAGCAATACCCATTCTATGTTAGTGCTAGGTACCTACATTGAAGGGCTGCATGCCAACTACACCGATATGGTTATACCTGTGCAAATTTCTCCTTAAACACTAAGGCTGTCTACACTAGCAGGTTCTTGCGCAAGAACTGTTTTGCGGAAGAGTTCTTGTACAAAAAAAATCTTCCACAAGAGCATGTCCACACTGCCATGCGCTTTTGCGCAAGAGCATCCATGGCAGTGTGGACGCTCTCTTCCACAAGAAAGCTCTGATGGCCATTTTAATCATAGGGGCTTCTTGCGCAAGAAATTCATGTTGCCTGTCTACACTGACCTCTTGTGGAAGAGCTATTGCGCAAGAGGGCTTATTCCTTGTGGGGAGAGGAATAACTCTTCCAGAAGAAGCCCCGTTTTCCGACACTATACTGTAAATTTACTTGCACAAGAACATGCGTGCAGTGTAGACAGCCAGCAAGTTTTTGCGCAAGAACACCTGTTCTTGCACAAGAAACATGCAATGTAGACAGCCTAATTCTAGCTCCAGCACACAATCTGAACAGTTCTTATGTAGGGAGAATTCCTCCAAGGATTCTTCCTCACAAACCTTAGAGCTCCAATTTTACTGCCCACTAAATATTAGAGGAGAAATTGAATACCCAAGAGATTCCCCAGTCTTAGCCACCAAAATTGATCCTGCTCATTTCCCCCCCCCCCTCACATTTTATGAGAGAGAAAAGCAATAGTTTCATTACAGAAGGCCCATGCACCACCATGAAGGGGATAAATAAGACTGCCCCCAAGAGATCTAGGAACCGCATCCAACTGGATATTACAAAGCCTCTCTCGAAATCCATCTTAGCCCTCTGCAGGTTGAACCTCTCTAGTCCAGCACCTTCTCTGGTGTCGAACCAGAGAATGTGTTGAATCATGGAAGGCCAATATTGTCCAGCAGCATTACCAAGACATTTAGGGATAAATTAGAGCTAAATAACAGCACAGAAAACTGAGAGCCAAGTCTTCTGGCTGTAAACAAACTGTATGGGACCATGGGAAACTTGGCCACACCCATGGTAAGTGGACAACTGGCTAACTAAAATCAAGCTGGACCACAGATTTGCCAGACCAGAGAGAGGTTCACCCTGTAATTCAAAAATTCAGTATATCCAGAACTTTTGTCAGGCTTCAGTCCCCCTCTTTCTAACCTGCCTAAAATTTTAAAAACTTAAAAAAAAAAACAAATAGTCTGGTAGCACTTTAAAAACTAACTCAGCTACCCCTCTGAAGCTTTTAAATTTTTAAACTTATTTTGAACACTGACAGCAGACATGTGCGCTCTGGTTAGTAACCTAATAGATGTTCTATTGACAATCAACACAGTATCTTCTGTAATGACCATTAGCTAGCTATCCTTTAGCTTCAAAATGACTTTCATAACAAGTAGGGGAAAGGAATAGATTTGGTGTTAAACCACATAACTGACAGTTCGGAATTAACCTATATCAACACATATGGTTGGTAATAAAAGCCTTGGACAGTTTAACTCCACAAGACAAAATCTTCAAAGGAAATCAGCAATAATCTTTATAGTAAATCTTTGAATAACGAATAGATAAATGGTTAAAATACCAGCTTTTTATTTCAGAAACATTCAAACTGGTGCTAGGATATCAATAAATATAATTGAGGGCCGTATTCTACCATGACATATGTGAGACGGTATGAATAAAAGTGATGGTAGAGTTTAGCCTGAGTGTGCTGTTTTGTTGCTACAGAGGGCACCATTACACACCCAATATTCTCACTCCAGAAGTACCTGCAGTTGTCACAATAGATTTCTGTTCCACAATAGTATTATGTCAATGCAGTATGTCAAAAGTTGACTTTTAAATGGTACACACGTACTACTTACATAGGATAGGTTAAAATAAAGAAATTCAGTACAATATTGGAATAAATTAATTTTGAAAAATGTTTGAGTAAGATAAGTTATTTAGTAAATTGATTACATGTAGACAATTTATTTTTAAATACACCTGTGAACAGCAACAACATTTAAAGTTCAGTCTTCGTACCTTATAGATGATCAAAATTTCTCCATCAAAACTTAGCCCCTTTGAGACAAATACAGCATAAGAATTTATTCAAGGGAAGTCTTAAATAGTTTATTCACTTGCAGTTAAATTTAGTGATTAGAATATTTTATGGTTACAGTGTACTTTTACTTTTATGCTCTCACATCAGGATTTTCCAACATTACTGCCAACTAGGCATTAATTCAGGGACTTCAATTTTTTAAATCTATGTTATGTTTGGCTATTCTGTATCGTAGATGTCATATCTCAAGAATCAGAAGTTACTGTGACAGACACCTATTAGGTAATAAGAGAAGCCCAACCTACTGTAGACTCCCTTAAACAAAACTAGACATCTCCAAACGGCTCATGTACATGCTACAGAATAGTTAAAGACAATTACTGTCAGACTGGCACACCATGTTATCTAATCCAAGAAGTCATTGAAGATAGCACTTTAAACAATGCCCATTCACATTAATACACATACTGAAAGAACACTCATTCATAAACAGTATGGTATAGCAACTAAGGGAACCTCAAGTTGTTCCTTAAAAAAAGTCTAAAAATAAAGAAATGCATTTCATTTTAAATACTGGGAACTAAAAACCAATAATGCAGCAGCAGGGGAACACTGGTAGTTTATAGGATATACCATTATAATGTTGCTTTCTAGATTCCAGTCTCATTCTGTTTGTTTTACTTGTGAGTAAATGAACTTTCAAACTATAAGCATAAATGCATTCTAGTTGTTCACTGAACTGGAGAGCGTTAGATTATATTTCCACATCAAAGAAAGAGGATATTCTTTCCATGCTATTGTATGTTTTAGTCCATCTGGTTAGAAGCAGAGGACTATCCAGAATGCATAGCTACTGCAGTAGCTTTCCAACTGGTTTTATGATCACATGAATCCCCTGATGTTGAAAGCATTACTACAACCTTTATTCATATTTCTTGTAACCAAATGGTTTAAACACTTTATGACTTTCCAACCAATATAACCAAAAATAAAAATTGTTAGCCTAAATGCTGATACAATCAGATTTAGCTTCTTCCCTTTTGGTTAGCAATACCAGCAAAGGATGATAGACACAGGAAAACGATTAAACCATTCTACACTTATCTAGCTTAAGCTACTAAACAAAATCACTGTGTTATTTCCTTATTCCAAGTGTTACTGTGAAATAAATGGGTAATATCCAGTAAAGTTCGAACAACTTGTACCATAACTTGTTTATCTGAAAGGTTACTTGTAAAGGAAATTTTAAGATTACAAAATAGCTTGAAAAGAGAATAGAGAAACTATCAGTTTTCTGTTTGGCTTGACACATTCACAAAAGAAGAGTCTTAACTCTTGTGCATCCATCTAAGCCATAAAGATTAAAATGATCTAACCAACCCACATCTTTCCCTGAATGCTGCAGCTCTTCCACTCAGCCAGCACTAGGTCAAATACAAATAACTGTCAAACACTAAAAGAATACATGGTTTTAAGTGCCAGATAAAAATTATCTGTACGTATTTGTTCCAAAATGAACGTAAATTTAACATTGTAAACTTGTTTTGTTAGAAAGCTGGTTTAAATTAAATTCCCTTCAGACTTAAGCTGTTGCTTTTATCATACTTTAAGCAAAAGAGGATATATTTCATTGACTGAACTGCTTCAAAAGCTTTGCTGCAGTGAATCTTACATTCAGGAGCAGCACCAAATTACACATAATTGAAAGTGATTCATTTTTAGATCCATTCCCCCCCCCCTTAGGCTTATGTATGTTTCCCAGGCTTTGGTGTAGGTAGCGCAAAAACATTAAGTCATACAATCTTGCAGTAACTCTTTCATACCATGAAGAGAGTGAATGGCCAAGGAGGTAAACTGTAATGTCCTTTTCCTGTTTTGTGCTTTTATCCACCACATCACATGTAATGATTTTCAACACAGAGACCATTTTGGCACCCTTAATTCTAGAGGCAAGAATGTGGTTTGGTACACTAGAACAGGGGATTAAGCTATGACCAAACTAATCCCTTACAAATTGCAGCAATAAAACACTTAACACAATATAGCAACTCTCCTCCTCCACACACCAAACCCAATTACCTCCAAACTAACACGGTTAAATCTCTCTCATATTTGTGTTTCCAAGGAAATATACCAGCTCAGGTTGCTCTTCATTCTTAGACAATTAAAAACAAATTCAACATCAAATGCTCCTTTTCTTCAGTGGAATAAGTGGGCAGGCTCTCTACCAGTTTGCAAGCACCTGAAGTTGTCAATTACTGGTTCTCATACTTATGTTTAATAAATACACATATAAAATGAACCCATTCCACTTTCATAGCAGAGGACAGCACAAGGGAAGGA